TCGGTTCTCGTATATATACTATACACTATATACTATACCTAACACATCAAACCTCGACAGCTAACACAGGAAGAAAACGGAATTGAATGTAACTTGATAGTTATGGCAGGAAATACAACTCAAACGAAAATGCTACAAAATTCGTTACTAGTAGAATATGATCTTTAAGCGTGTAGCAATTTAGTAAACTAAAAAAACATGATAATCAATCAGTAGGCAAAGGTCATGCGAAAAATCGAAGTGGTAGAAAGTGTGCGAGCGGTTATCCTTGTCAAAGAGATTTTAGCCTTTCTAATAAAATTTTATTATTCTTGCTATCGCTTTAGCATTATGAATCCACATTAATATCGTCTACAGGTTATTATGCCAGTTAATCAAAAGAACGATATAAACTAACTACTATGGAAATAGATTATCCGTCTCCTCTAACTTTTATGAAATCCAACTAGATCTTTAAGAGTTCTCACACTGTTACTAGTAAGAGTTAATCATTTAGGGTAGAGATTAGGGGATTTCTAGCAATATGGATGAATTTCACGCGAAAATTCATAAGGCGTCATATGATTGGTTCGTTTATAAAATATAATGCCAGTAGGTTAAGGTTTGTTTCAAGATTGAAGATTTAGAGTGTCGATTTACCCTATCATATACCATACGCAGAGACAATTGAGTATTTGAAACATTTAGCATTATCATTTTCACTCAATGATGGCAAAAATTTAATTTTCAATAGGATTTTAAATCTTTTAAGCACCACATTAAAGTAATTCTACTTCATAATATACGTGATATTTATATGTCGCGTAAAACCCTAAAAGTCTCGTTCTCGATGCTGATTGTCTTGTCCCTATATTATACGTTCATCACTTCAGCTGAAGGTTAGCATTTTTTTATCAATAAATAAGCGAAGATGAAATAATCTAAGTAATTTAAATGTTTTATAAATTACACTTTTTCATTTGGGAATAAATCAAAATTATCGGTGATATATAAAGTTATAAAAACATTGCTGCATTAAACCATGTTCAGCCGATCATGTTTAAATGTTTACAGCTTAATTGCACTAAAAATGAAAGTCATGTATTGTGAAATGTGTTCGGGTTGACCCATTTCTTGATGAGTGAGTGAGAGAAAGAAAGAAAGAAAGAAAGAAAGAAAGAAAGAAAGAAAGAAAGAGGGATGGATACATATACGGTCGACTCAGGTAAGTCAATAAGCAATTGGTGTTACTTAATTTTCAATCATTATTGAGCATTACATTGCATTGGTAACTAATCAACCACCGATTATTGCAATTGTATTGTGGAAAAAAAGTGATTTGAACATAAATTACGTATGTCTACACACTACCTTCCTCAATCAGTGATGCTTGAGTGTAGATGTAGGCAGAAAAAAAATCTAGGAACAGTAAAATGAGAACGTGGCATCGATCCACAAAGTTATTGGTTGAATATAGAAGGTAGGTGAATAGTCCCTGATTGAGCCCCGGACAATTATCATAACTACTGGTTGAAGATATCAGATGGACATGGATCAAGATCGGTCCCAAATGTCATATATGCATTCACTCTTTGTCTGCTCCCAAATGATTAGTCCCGAAATCTTGCACTTTTCTTTAACCTACAAATTCATTTCACATAAATCATATTTTCCATAACTGGTCCTTTCTTCTGTTACTAAGGTTGTCAGTAGTCCTACTATATCAGCATTTGTCTTGATTATTTATCGTATAGTGCTGATGTCGTGAAGCAATTTGAAGGGAAACACGAATATGTACAATGTTCAGTGTTGCTCATGAATGACTTGTATTATTAAAAAAGATGTCTACCCTCTTAAATCTACACATATACTCACATGTAAGTAGTGAGGTGAAGTGATAAAAGAAATTTATAATTCATATGGATATATTCGATGATGTCCTGTTCAATTTTTAAGTTTTCACTAACATTATCATCATTATCATTACTGTCTACTTCATCGAACGGAAGTTATCACAATTAAACCAATCATTTAAATTCATAGACATATCAGTAATAAAAACGACCAGTGACATTTTATCCTTGTTGTTATTTAATACATTTGTTAGATTTTCACAGAATACATATAAAACAAAATAAAAACCGACAAGTAACTATGGCAACAACAGCAAAAACAAAAAAACATTTTATCGATTGTTTACTTCATTCAGAATTTACTTCTAGAAGTAGAAGTACAGGGATAACCAAATGACCTTGAAAAATCCAAACTACTTATTTGGTTTTCAAAAATAGGTTAGGGATTTAGATTAAAAGTTGGCGCTAGGAGTCAGGATAAGAAATTAAGGTAAGAGTTCTCATCAAGAAATGATATCAATAGTAATATCAGTTATTTTTTTACTTGACATCGACATATTTAGACCTACTATGATTTCGAATGTACTAGAAATACTCTACATTGTTTTCCTTCGTACTACTTAAACTTGTGTTAACTTAATGTCGGTTATTTATTTGCTCTGAAGAAATGGCTTACACTATGTCACAAAACGTCAGAAATATAATTTATCTACTTGTTGGGATATAACAAAAACATATTTATGATTAACTCTCTACCCTATTCTCAATTCATTTGAAACCATTAAGTCCAACCATGGTATTGATACGATATAATTAGTTTCGGCATTACTGCTTTGCATTTAAAAACGGTATGTGAATTTATTGCCATGTAAAACAATTCTTGGCGAGACTATAATTTATGGACTGACCAATCAGATATAAGATAACAGATCTTGGGTTTTGGTGAGAAATCCATTCATTCATTTGGCTAAATAGAGTTTTGGCATTTTAGCTGAGGTCTGTTCGTGATGAAAACCCTAAATTTAATTCCCAATCCTAAACATCAACTGTAAATCATAATTTTCATATCTCACATAGTTTTATAACCCTCATTTAGTCCTAGTAAGTAGGTGGACATTATCAAGGTGGCTTTTTAGAAATTTCATGCATTTGGTTCCCTTTATGAATTTAAATAGAGCAAGAACAAACATTGATACAGAATAGTATGAATCCATATTATTTCGAGGTTTCTCGTCAGCTGCTTACAAACCAAAATTGTGATAGAATTTTTTTACAGCAGCTGACGAGAAACCTCGAAATAATATGGATTCATACTATTCTGCACCAATGTTTGTTCTTGCTCTATTTAAATTATCAAGGTGATTTTAGTGTCTTTCAAAGGTCGTTCATGAATTATAGTTGCACTCAATTCTCATCATTCTTGTGTTTAGAAGCTTTATCTTCAATGTTTTATTCCCTAGATTATTATAATTTTCATCATGAGCTTTCATTGTCATTCTGAAAAACATGATGAAATTACTTTAACTCATGGAGAGGTTAATAGCTAGAGGTGGCCTAATTACATGGTTCACCCTCATCATGAAAGTGTATTTTTTGAGAAGTCATTATCGTTGACTACTTAGTAATGATTAGATCTGCTATCTGATTGAATGTGTTTTACCAATTATTATTGTTAAAACTATCTTGAATGCTTTCACAATTAAAAAAACACAATCATTAATGAAAACTATACTATAACAATGAGATCGTATAATCACGTGACACAATCGCATTCACTTATTCAACTATTCGATTGAGAATAAGATAATGAACTGGAGCAAAAGTATTATAACATTACACAATACAGAGCAATCGGTAAGTGAAATTAAAAATGGGACGAATTTTACAATATCAGATAGGCTCTTTCATATTTACTGTTGGATAATTTTGTCTTCAATTCTAGACAAGTCATTTGGATTGGATATATCAAACTACTGTCGCCCTTATTTTAAACATGGTAACACGCATCATGAATACTTACAAATAAATTTTTGACATTTTGATTGGATGAAACTTTTCAACACTTATGAGACTCTCAACCGTCAATTCCTCACTGGCTTTTCAAAGTACTTTGAATGGTGTGCTTACAACCCTCTTTATAATACCATTTTGTTCCATTTATTTAAAGATTGATAAAAAGAACTTTATTTTATAGACTGATTTTGTTACAGAACTTCTTATTAAATCATATCCAGAAAACTATGTGGTATCACTTATTATGTGTTTACAAGTGACCGATTTCGAGTGATGATTATTCCCGGAATTTTATTGAGAAGCCGTGGTTAATGGAATTCAACTGTATCTGATGTGAAGCACCTAATCACCAATGAGACTAGAAGACGGTCGTGTAATATCGTGAATTGAGTGAAATTAAAAATAGAAACCATTGAAACCTGATTCAGAAGTTTGAAAGTTGATCGATTTCTGTGAGGTCTGAAGGTACACGACAGTTGTCCAAGGCTTCCTGTCTTCTAATCATTATCAAACCAAATCACTCTGTGATATGAAATTTCACATTCGAAAATCCACATAACATATCAATAATACGAAAAGCTACTCTTCTCAATACATTGTTCACATTATTTCATTGAAGAGGGAACCCAAATACAAGATCAACGTTAATATCCAAATGATTTTCAAGCGAAATCTCGAATTAAAAATAGCCCGTCTCAACCCATTATCTATTGTGATTGTTTTCAGATATAATATATCGTTCCTGTTATAGAGTTAACAAATAACCTTAGTGCATATATCTCATCGTTCTTACATATTTCCTACCTATATTTACTTGATTTCTTCATTGAGTGGTTTATGGAGATCAGTTTAATGTGATAAGTGATTAGATATTTTTTTATTATTACAAGCATAATCAAGTTATTTAATACTCAATCTATTTTTATTCTCTGCTTTAATTTTACACCACTTTTATTGATTGCATATTCTCTGGTTAGACAATAGTTCATTTTAGTCATTAATTATGTAAGAATACCTCTCGTCCTATGTTATCATTACATATTTCGATTTGGACTGGGATAGGATACATGCCTATAATTTTGCAGCGCGTCTACTTCCCATCTCTTTAGTGAGGAAATATGGCACCTAACAGAAAAACGAGACTACACAATATCAATGAAGGTGTTTATCAACTAAGTAACTATAATAATAAACCTTTAGGTAAGCAGATGGAATGTTTAAAGTATGTGAATACTGAATAAGGGTTATTTTTATAAAATAGCACTTTTCTCTAAAATTACACTAGCTTATACGGCCATAAATTATGTAAAAAAAAGTCACTAGTACAGAGTTTTGTGAATGTTATTTAATTTTGTAGTTTACATAAAAGATTAGTAAAACAACCACTGAAAACTGATAAATACTATTAGTATGTAAGAATTGAAAGTCATAGAAGGATTCAAACGTGCAACTCATTGGTTGAAAATTAATTTCTTTGACATTTGAACCACCATGGTGTCTATCTGGACTGTGTAGCTCAATGGATAAAGTATTAGTATTTGTATTGAAACGTACTGGGTGTAAGTCACAGAATGAATAACAACAATAGGATAATAGTACATCCAGCTGACGAATACCGAATTGAATGAAACGGATATCCTGCATTCCATTATAGTGGCCCTTAATCAGACTCCAATTTGATCGTTTCTGATTGTTATCGAATGATTGCTGTCAAAATATACACTCCGCCAATCCTTATCAACGTAACTCCCGTTAGTGAATAACGGGATTAAATAAATCAAATACGAGAATGGAGTTTGAATGAGTATATTTCATACAATCGTTGACCTGAACAGATAATCGTTTGCAGAAAAGACGAGAAGAAAGCGAAGTGAAGAGAGCAAAGCGAAATGACGTGCGATAGAGAAGGCATGTAAGCCAACTTGATTTAATCAAGCGTCAATCGATATTTATAGTCAAAAATATTCATAGACCAAAAACAAGTTACAGATATGTGATGAATAGGATAAGCAATACACGCCACTAAACATCCATATAAAAACAGTTAGTATTAATAAGCTCAAAATGTGGCTCAAGAAGGGCGAATAAATTGGCCTGTCTGGAAGTTAGAACAAGCTATGTCGGCTTGACATAGCACCCGACACTACATAATCTCTGACCACACACTGAGTACATCAACCCATGAAGTCATTGCCGATGAACTAGTTGAATGTCTGATATCATATGTTACAATTATGCCAACACCAATCTGTATAGAAAATCATGTCTTCGATCCTAATTAAACACTCAACTGATTTCCTAAATAACAAAATGACAACACGCCATACCAAGTGGATAAGTGTTAGGCAAACAAGAATTGAAATGATGCAGAAAAGCTTTTTCCATTATTATTATTTAACAAAATAGAATCTGGAAGATAATTCTCATCACTGACTAACATGAGATGTAGAACAAACAGTTCAAACTATCAAACAGTACTAAACACTTCTCTCATCTTCGCTTGGGACTCATCAGTTGGGGATATACATGACAATACATAAGATTGGAATTAATTTAATTTGTAACAAATACGATAAGTGAAATTAATTGAGCTTTGTAAATCTCTTACATAACAAAAACTAAAAATTATCATCAATCTTTCAAGGACAAATTATTCAGAATACAAAACTTAAACTATTTAATATATGTGATGAAATTAGCTCACCGTTCACGAACAATCGGATATAAAAATGATTCATCTTTATTTTCATGTTGTTCCTTATTGAAATGTTCGTAATTTATTTGAGAACAATCATGATTCAAAACAAACATATTCCCAAATGGCAATTTAGAATCACAAAGAGTACTGTGAATTTATAGTAAGGTTTTCTTTTTGGCATGTATTTTATTAGTGTATCTCAGTTATCTATATACCAATCATAAACATTTTCATAAAGTCATATTGTGGGCGTGAATAAAACAATTTCAAGGTGAAAAATTCTATATGATAATTGGTTAAAATGAGTGCCGGTTATAGAAGTAACCTTGAGATGACCTTAGAGAGAAAGTAAATATGACAATAAAACTTTTCTTAATTCAAAATTAATGAGATTTGAAAAAAAAATTATATGAATTCTTTAGGTGGAAACTTTCCTTTGGTAAAAAGAAAGAAAATTTGGGAGTTTTCTATTGTGACTTTAAAATAAACAGGTTCTTCTAATGTTGTAAGATTAACTATTGAAACGGATGCCTTGATATTAAAAATAGAATTAGAACAAAAAACATGCTTAACAATTCCGAAACTATAAAAAAATAATGACAACTGTATGACAAGAAACGACTATCATATAATATTTGAAGTGTTGGATAGTGTTGTTCTGTTTATAACAATGAAAATAAAATAAAGATTACTGTACTCACCCTGAAGCTATAGGTCTTCGAGGAATCGGTACATTGTCTGGGGTGAAATCCCATTCGACTAGTCCGGAAAACCCTGTTAAACTTGGAGCACCTGCCATACCGAGTTCAGCATAATCTCGACTTATTCGAGTTTCAGACAATCCAACTTCCTAAATTGGAAAAGAAAAGAAATAATATATGAACACAAATGAGTAATACTTACAGAAAAAAGATTTCATTGATTAAAGAATACTACTGTAATTACACATAATACAGCTTACCCGATCTGAATTTATGAACACCTTAATTCATGTCATCTGTTATTAACGCTTTATAATATACATCTCGAAGTAACATCAGTTAAAAGTCAAGAAATTACTAGGAAAATGTATTTTCTTCATCTATAGTATGTTCAAAAATATGTTACTCAAGGTATCGATTACTCGAATGACAGTACCATTCAACTTGAAACTGTTTGTAAAAAACGTTCCTATTTATTGAAGGTATGTAGTCTATTTATTTAATAGGTAGTTAGATAATCAACATTCTGCCATATTGTATCTGGTGAGACTACCTGACTACATAAATTAAATCAGGAATCGTAAAACTCAAATCTATCAAACAAAATCTTCTGAAGGCCGAGATACTGTTTCAGTATTGATGCTGTAAATCAGCTCAGAAATTACATTTTATAGAAATTAAAAGGAGTACACTGAACATTTAACATTTCAAAAAACTGGGCAGACTTGATATACTTATCATTTTATCCGATGAATAACCAAGACTATAGTTTATACTGTCCTTATATGGTCATACAAGTAAGGAAATTACAATAAACATTTCCTTCATCAAGAGATATAAGAAAAATAGAAAAATACATCAAGTTGTATTCCAATATAAGAAGAAATCATCGCAATAAATGAATGCGTCGATTAGAATGCATGAAAACTTTGAAGAGGGTAGATCTTATCCTTAAAGCCAAGATACCGTGATATGCAAATTAATGTCATCAATATTTACTAATCCTGTAAATTATCAGACAAGACATGTTATATTATGAATATTATGATTATTTAACGATATAAGGGAATACAAACGAATTTATATTCGTCATTTCATCAACAAAATATAACAAACATCATAGGGAAAAAATGAACTACATTCAATTAATACTACTTTGGTCAACACCTAATAACCGAGGTGATGTTCAAATGTTAGGCTTATATACATATATATAGCTATAAGATTATGTAAAATTGACCGTAGTCATGGTAAAATAAAATTAGTTAGGAGCAGCTGCCATACGAAATAATGCTGATTGCCCACTGATATTGATTATTGGATTGAGATTGAGCTAATGTCCACAAGATAACTACAATTAACAATCGAAAAAGTGAGACAAGATAGCTCAAGTGGTATACACTTACAATGTTTTATCTACTCTCAAGTATTTTGAGCTATAATTGTTGGGATCTAATCGTACCAGTACTAATACGACCAGGTAACATTACCGTAACTTTTCACAGTTTGGTACTATCATAACATTCTTAAAACAGGGATGCCCTGTAATTAACACCTACTCCCGTTGGTCACCGTGTCACTGAAATACGAGATATATAGTTTCAAGTGCGAAACCAAAGGTTCCAGATCTGATTCTCGGTCACGAGATCGCGGATGAACACTATTAAGTACAAAGGCAAAATGAAAGTTCAATGATTCAAAGTTCTCACTGACTATTTCAGTCACTTGATTGTCTTTAGCTACAAAACTCCTCATGAAAGTTCATTCTTCTCTTGATCACCGGTTTCAGTATTCTTACTGGAGAGTTGAAAATGGATAAAGTTCAATAGCAGTTAGCTGCCTCAATGGACTCAGTAGTATTATTGAGATCAAATGAATTCATATCAGTAACAAGTTCCCTACTTCCTATTCCTTGGTAGTATTCATTCAGTATGGTAGAATTTTCATTAATAATTGTATTATTATTATTTTCTATTCCTTTGACGTGCATATTGTTGATTATTCTTCCTTATGTTTATGTCAAGTGCAATAACTCAAGCGTAGGAAATTCAAATCAGATCCCATATTGTCTATAATATAATGATTAAGTATATGGAATAGGAGTCAAGTCGAAAACACATCAATTAGTTGAAGATAAAGAAGTAAGTAATCGATATGAAATTATTGTCTTGTTATATTCTATCATATTGAACAAATTATACATATATGTATATATTAAAACCTGTCTTGATTCTAACAACATCGTTTGTGATAAACAATTGAGTTACAACTACTTAAATACTGTTTTTTTACGAAAAATTCAAAAAATGATAGAATCATATACAGTAATTAAAGAAACGTGATCAGAACATTAAAAACTAATAAAGACTAATACAAGCGGATAATCTTACCCTGGTACCATAATTTAAATGTCCATCACGCCAATTCAGTGCGTGAGCATTTTCGGCTGTTGTGCCTTCATGTATACTATCTTCACCTGAGTAGATCAATGAATAAATAAATAAAAACATAAATTGAATATGAAGCAAGAAAACTGATAGACTCATAATGATTTAAGGGTAATAATCAGCGTGGGAAGTTAATGTTAACAAAAAATAAAATTCAGAGGTAAGCATTTGAATGTTAGGTTAGTGGAGACAATTGATGACGCTGGGCGTAGGCTTCGCACTAATTGTTACTTATCAGCAAAACTGGATTTTTAAAAACCGATGTTTCTTATACAACAAGAACCTGGGTCGCTCAGGCTTACGGTCTGAGACATGGTCACTGTGCGTAGCGCACACGGTGTCAAGGTATATAGACTAATGGCTACATTGCAATTTGATTGATATAATTCCATCAGTAACAAAGGACTAGACAAAAATGATATTACAAGTTGAAATCATGAGCCAATTGAAGCTAGACCACCATGGAAAACCTGAAAGCAGTGGACGGCCGTTTCGTCCTAATATGGGACTCATCAGCAGTGCGCATCCACGAACCCGCCCCCGCGGGATTCGAACCCAGGACCTACTGGCTTCGCGCGCGAGACCACTGAGCCGGCACCCAACGGTGTTAATGTCTAACTTCAACCCATCCACGAAGTTGCGCCACCGTACACCATTGTCTTCAGTGAGTTCCTATCTCACAACAGACCTGGTTGAACTCCTTTGGTAACGACTTCTCACCAGAACTCCAGGAGTGTCTCCTGAAGTCAGTCACTAGTGAGCAGGTGATTATTATTATCAGAATGAGTTTTGTGGAGATTTTTAGAAATTTCACAAGTTGAAATCCTGAGCCAACTTGTGGAATTCCTAAAAATCTCCACAAAACCCATTCTGATAAAAATGATATTAGTTAATTCTCAATGATCAATCAGTTGCTTAGCTTCCTCGCTTAAACTTTATTATTGTCCAAATTCTTTTGATCCCCATTTTTTATTTAACAATACAGACAAGTTATAAATAGTTCCACCGTAAAGTTAACTTCTTAGTTTACTGATCCGTAAAATTTGATCATGAGTGATTGCTTCTAAAACACTGAGAAATGATCAAATAATTTAAGTTATAACATACGAAATATAGTAAATTTGAATAAACGATATTGGCTTATTCTGACCTTCATTTTCACCAGATTTCAGTGATTATCTCCATATATATATATATATAACATAGGATCAAAAAAAACAGTAGGATTATGAATAAACGTGATTTAAATACTTTTATGGAACAGATGGATTATGGCTAGTAGTGGGATTCAGGATACTTGTTCAGTCTTATTTGGGACTCATCAGTTAGATATACCTTTCATGATTTATTTATTTATTATTATTAGCTTTATTTAATAATATATATATATATATATTATCAGCATAAAGTATTTCAGCGCGTTTCCGTTTCCTATTTCTTGATCGATCATTGCGATAAATATTGAGTGATCACAAGCTAGATATCAACATTTCAGAAGTCGATAGCTGAATAACATTCATTCTTTTCAATGTGTATTGCTAGCCATCATGATGTCTCCGATTGTACATTTTTGTAACTTGTACAGATAAAGGTCATAAACTTTTCACAAACGCACCTGCAATTAATCGACATAACGTTGTGTTAAAACAAACAAGAAGACAGATAACTTGTTGAAATATCTAGGCGGCAGGAACAGGTAGACCAGATATTCTAATATAAACTTGTAACAAAATAACTTTACCGAGGCAGATCACACAGAATTCAAGCATACCAACTGAAACCGATAAAATTTCAGTCGAAAACATCAACGTCAAGATAATTTAAACACTTTCTAAGTTCAGTGATAATATCAAACAATTATTCAGTATTTCTTGATTTCCAGTCATGATGTAGGTGAAATCTGCCTGTAATGTGAAGTGTCTCTATTAGGTGAACAACTTCTACAAAACGCCTTTTCAACAACATTGATACACCGAAATCGCAAATCGATCTAAGCAAGATCATCGTTGGAAACCTGAAAGCACTGAACGATCGTTTCATCCTAGTATGAAATTCCTAGATACTGTGCATCAGTGGTCCTGCAAGCGAGAATAAAATCCAGAAACTTTAGTCTCGTGAGCGAACGTTTAACCCACAAACCACTGAGTTGGCATTCAATGATGTTAGCGTCTAACTTCAACCAATCCACGATATTGCACGACCATCTTACATTATCTTCGGTGGGTCACTGCCTCAAACCCGACACGGTCGAACTCTACAAGTCACGGCTTCTCTCAAAAAAATCGGAAATCTGCTCTGAAAGCCAGTCACTATAGAGCACATGAATTCAATGATATTCGATAATCACCACGACCCATTACTGACAATTCTGAAACGTTTTGAAAATATCAGAAAAAGAAATGAACAAACTACAAAACAAAAATTAAAAGACTGAATGAACTAACATCATTACCTACCTGATACATTTGATAATTTATCTGGAGCTATTTTAACGTGATTCACACCACCACTACGATGACCATAATGTTGTTGTTCATCAGAATGTTTGTTATCTGATTTGTGATGAGATTGTGGATGATGTTGAACATATTGTTGTTGTTGTGGTTGTATGTGTATTTGTTGACTAAGACTCTGTCTACTTTGTGCACGTGAAAATAATGGTGATGATGGCATAATTGTGAAATCCGGTTCAACTAAAGTAGAAAAATCAATAAATATTCCACCAACTGTAGTATACAGAAGTAAATAAGGCGAGTTGAAGTGAAAAATCAGAGTATAATACATACAAAAGTAACTACGACTGCCACTACTACTACTACTACCAATACAAATACTATTACGTTGCCTAGAATAACACTACACTAAGACGACTAGATAAGTAGCAATGTTTCTTATAACTATGATGATAGACAACGTGAATGGTGTTTATTACGTTATTGAGCACTGTTTTTCAATCAGGTCTGTTGATAAAACGCACTGGTACACTCTAACAAGTAGGCAAATAAGTTTATAAATTGTAAATTGTTCATAATTATAGTGAAGTGGTGAAAAGTTTAGTATAGGATTCCTCAGAAGTGCAGATCCACGACCCAAGCACTGGTCGAACCCACAATTTTGAAACCATATGATGAGTGCTCCTTATTTATCAATTATAATTTCATTAATCATTGAATTCAAAAGTATCATATTCTAAATACAATATTCCTTAAAACAAAACTGTCCAACTATAACAAATTAACTTTTCATATTCAATCTTTATAAGGAATCGTTACCCCTTCTCATCAGACGCACATCGAGAAATCATTATTATTACTGCATTTCTCCCTATACTTATGTCTCATATTCTCATTATTTTATTCGCAATTGCTCGTGGTATGACTTCATTTATTTCACACCTCTATTACCTTTAATTACCTATAATTATTGTAACACAAACATTTTAATCATCTTACTACATTCACGTTATAATTCGTTACTAACTTATTATGTCTACTGTTATTATTCGTATTACGTAATCTAATATTATAATCTTTCTATTACATCATCTTGGTTATTCCTTGTTTACATTTCCTCACGGAATTAGTACTTTAACAAAGACATTTTGATATATATGTACGATAATACAGCTTGATAACAAATTCGTCGAAAAGAGATCCCTTCGCTGGACTTCATATTTTTAATATTTAAATAACTGATCATTCAGTAGTAATCAATGTCATGCTTGTTTATTCCTTCAGTTTTTCATCATGACTCTACACTAATATATATATATATATGATTTAGAATAATGAAATAATATCCATCGAGTAGATACATTATGCAATAATTATATGATGACATATCGATTATAAATTAACATTGAGTAATTGGAAGAAAGAGGGTTAATAATAACCAAAGTAATTATTCGAAAATCAAGTAGTTGCTACGTTGCATAATATATAAAAAAGGGAAGGAACTAGCAAAATATTTCGATGAATGGTCAGTAGTAGTTATGTCGGAATCAAGAAACAAATGTTGGGAATAAGTAAAATACTAAAAATACAAAAAATGGAAGTTTATCAAAGTTCTGCTACGAACTCCCCAATACCGATGGACAAAGTAGCTAGAATGGTTGTGCAAACTTCTTTTGGATGCAAAGGTTAGGTTTGTGAACATGGATTGCAATGACTTCAACAGTGTACAAAAGGCGCACTCGTAAACCATGTGACAAATTTGATGGAATGTGGTGGATAACCTTAAAAGCTTTATTTAGTTCAACTTGATGATCTGTGTCCATCACGTGAGCGAGAATAGAACTCTTAATCACTCTTATCTGCCCTTTGCTCAACCACGACGGATGGTGTTCTGTTATACGATGACGAACTTGCCGAATTGTACGTCCTATATAACTTGCTCCATAGGAGCAGTCAAAATGATAAATACACATGGATCTGACGAATTCAGCCAATCTATCTTTACTAACCGTTCTTATTGTGTGGCGGTTGTCGAAGGCGGCACTCAGTTTGGCTGCATTAAATGTTTTTTGTACCGTCTTTCTTAACTTTTGAGTCACAATCTCTTCAGCAGTATCATTTAGGAATTGTAATTTTAAGAAAAATACTTTATTCGGAACGGTAGGTACCCTTGTCCTTATTTTCATCTCCTTCATGTGTTTGTCGATGAATTTCGTTGGGTATACATTCCTACTGAGCAAGTTACGAATATTAACCAATTCATCTACAATAATGTCATCCGAGCAAATCATTCTAGCACGATGAGTCAGGATCTTTAACAAGTTTTTTTGTATCTGATCGGTACGGCACTATAGAAACTAGTTATTTGTCCAGATGTAGACTTTCTGTGTAACCCTCTTTTTAAAGTTCCATCTGCTCGTCTAGTTAGTTGGACATCTAAAAACGATGTTATTGTTCTGTTCTTCCTCTAGTGTAAGTTAATTGATGGATGAATATTATTAATTTTTGAAAAATTACTTTGATTATTATTAACCCTCTTTCTTCCAATTACTCAATGTTAATTTATAAGCAATATGTCATTATATAATTATTGCGTATCGTATCTACTCGATGAGTATTATCTCATTATTTAGACCAAATATATCAGTGTAGAACCATGATGAAAAACTAATTGAAAAGAAATTTCTTTGCTCGACTCGTTCCTTTTTATTTACCAAATATCAAAATGGGAATTTCCACGATATTCCTTTAGTGTCTATCGGATTCAGTCGATTAAATTCTAATGTGTCCGTTAGTCAAAATGATATCAAGTGGAATATGTTAGAAAGTTTGTTAGATGCTCTTGACATAGGTTTTGTGCTAGTTAATATTTATTAGAACTTTCTGCTAACTACCTTCAACTCCTTTATATGAAACAGCTTTGTTGAATAACATACATCGAAATAGAAATATCACCTAAAAAGCCAAAAAACACGGTGTAACATACTACATTCTTCTTCAGTATCTGTAATTGGATTATCTCTCATCATGTCTGGATGTTCAAGGCCAAGTCGATTAGCAGAGATATGCTGTTGTCTACTCAAAGATGAATTATGATACTCTGGACCAGATGATATAGATGATGCCAATTCTGCATTCATTGGCAATTCATCAGTATTTTCATGCTCCCATGATTCTACACATGTAGTTACCTGACGTAATGCTTCAAATATATTTAAATAATGTTGATGACGAGCAACATGAGCTGGTGTCCAACCATACTAAAAAGAAAATAATAGTTATTATTATTATCATTATAGAAATGACAGTATAACATTAAATATGATAAGTATTAAAAATATTGTGGTGTAAAATGAATTCATTAACAGTTTCCAAAATTTAAAATGAAAATGGAAAAGTATATGTAAGTAGCAGATTTCCCTAATATCTATGACTGTAAATAAACAGAAGTATTCGGTATGAGAAATCCTATATACAATAAATGAACAACCATTGTGTCATATCGACACCATAATTGATACAGAATAAACCAGAGGAAAGTTTTTTAAGGGATAGTGATAATCCAGATAATGCCGGAGATATTGTATTTATTCTCAAGTCTGTATGATGAGATGTAAATGTGAACAGAGCACTGCGTAAACTCTCGATTAGTCGGAACACTACCACATAGGCTAATAAATGACATTCCATTAGAATCTTAGATTAATGTTTTGCTCACGAGTTGTAAGCACAATATCTGTCTTACAGGAGATCAACTGCTGCCCTATTAGCTCAGTAGTGTGAAGTTAGGTGACTCAGGTTTGAATTTCATAGAGATTACCAGTTATCTCAAGCATGCAAATAGGCTTTTCTTGACGAGTGCCAGCTTGTACGAAAACCAGATTCGGGGTTTCCTGTCGACTACATTTAACCATATGACAATACCTTTGTTATTACTATTAGCATATTTCATAGATATTTTTATTCACATTGTTGGCATCAACCAGCATTTTATCATACACTACATCAGCGACTATTTAACACTTAACCGACCTAGGTCTACCGATGTACATATGTACACGTATAATACCACATCTAAATCTGAATAGTACATTAATAAACCAATCATACTCAGATGATTGAACAGCTGAAACTATTTCTACATTTACAACAGAATAAAAATAAATGTCGGCTCAATGGTCTAGTAGTTAGGCGCTCGTGTGCGAGACCGATAGGTCCTGGGTTCGAGCCCCGTGTGGTGCGGGATCGTGGATGCGCACTGCTGAGGAGTCCCATACTAGGACGAAACGGCCGTTCAGTGCTTCCAGGTTTTCAATGGTAGTCTAGCTTCAACTGACTCATGATTTCAATCTGTGAAAATTTCTAAAAATCTCCACAAACACCTTCTGATAATAATCATCTGCTCACTATTGACTGACTTCAAGAGATACTCCTGGAGTTCTAGTGGGAAGCCGTTACCAGTGGAGTACAACCAGGTCTGTTGTGAGATATCAGCTCACTGAAGACAATGGTATATGGTGGCGCAACTTCGTGGATTGGTTGAAGTTAGACATTAACACCGTCGGATGCCGGCTTAGTGGACTAATGGTTAAGTGCTCGCGCGCGAAACCAGTAGGTCCTGGGTTCGAGCCCCGTGTGGTGCGGGATCGTGGATGCGCACTGCTGAGGAGTCCCATACTAGGACGAAACGGCCGTCCAGTGCTTCCAGGTTTTCAATTTTGGTCTAGCTTCAACTGACTCATGATTTCAATCTGTGAAAATTTTTTAATGAATAAATACATCAATTTTCACCAAATCTACACACCAATTGTCACTTCTTTCAGCTGTAGAATTAAACAAATAAAAACAATTAAAGACAGGAATACTAGTTAATAATATATATATGATATTAAAAGGATTTGATTTGATAAATTTACATAAAATGATCATTGAGATAGCTTGTTTTAATAATACAATTGTCATATAAATACATATATCAAGAGTATTTTACTTAGTTCTCCTTACAATTAACAAGACTAATTAGTCACTGTATTCATTATGAAAGAAAAATACATAGAAACAAGAATAAACACGATCAGTTCTATATAGATATTTATTTATGGTGAAATTCAATTATATTGCTGACCTTGTTTATATGCATTTCAAAATTACTAACATGATAGACACGTATGTAATATACGTGAAAATATGAAATTATATAAAGTGGAATAAAAGTGGTTGGTAGTTCAACAACTAGGTGTTGTATACCTAATAGTTTGGATACAGTATATAACTACTGTATTATACATAATTGTGAACTAGTTTTATTGATTAATTAAGGTATTTTTGTTGGGTATTGTAATAATAATAATAATCCGTGTAAAATTTTAAGTTCAATAGTTGAAAAAAACGTACAGGAGTGGTTACATATAATTTTTCCAATGTTCAATATATGTGTCCTATCTATCATTTTCAAGTATTTTCCGTTCATCTCATGGGTGTGTATCGTATAGAAGGGGGAAATTTTCAATGAGAATTTCGTTTAGAACCATAACTCCTACATTATCAGTCTTTTTTTCATACAACATGTTGAAATGCGTCACACTGCAGTATTTATAGCAAACAGATGTCGATGGTAGGTGTCATTACCAAGGTATGATTTGATAATTTCGAATAAATTGAGCATTGGGTTGATTGTTATAAATAAAAATAATAGATGTCGATGGGTTCACTAAATGGATGGAAACGCTAGACACTGTTCACTTGTTGAAAAGATTTTACTGGGATCTCGATATGAAGTCGTAGGTACCCACTTACTGGAAAAGTCAGGCTAAGATGAAACAGCTGTCTGGAATTCTCTGGTTTTCAAAAACTCTTTAACTAAGATCAGTCTATGATGCCAACTATGTGACCATAGTAATCTAGTTTATTCCAGAACATTGTTCCGTGAATTTCCTACCTATCTATCTATCTATCTATCTATATATATATATATATATATATATATATATATATATATATATATATATATATATATATATATATATATATATATATATATATATATATATGATTGTTACGGTATTGAACAGACAAATAAAACTATCTGTTATTGACGGAGAGACTATCTAAAAAACTTAATTACATCTGTAGACTAAACTTAATTCAAGCTAAGCAGTAAGCATACAAACAAATTTAAAACTAGTTTCAAGTTCGTTGTCTATAAATATAATCCTATATATCAGTGACGAACTAGATGTACGCAATTTTAAAAACTAATACATTTTGTGGGTTCAGATTTCTTTTTTGACGATAATCAATAAACCACAATATACTTCTGGAAGTATTTATTTCAAGAGTTTATTATTTTCAGAATGGTGATTTGTGGAGATTGTACTTGTTTTAAGAGTTGAATTCCTGAGTCGATCTAAGCAAGACCACCATTAAAAAACTGGAAGCACTGGATGGCCGTTTCGCCCTTGTACGGCACTCATCAGTAGTACGCGTCCACGATCACGTACACGAGACTCGAACACAGGACCTTCGGTATCGCACTAAAACAATTAACCTCTAGACCGCTGAGCCGGCATCCAACAGTATTGATGTCTATCTTCAATCGATCCATGATCTCTTGAGACCCTTCATCCATTGTCTGAGGTGGATAACTGTTTCCACCCGACATGAGTTGGACTCAACTGGTCACGGCTTCTCACTAGAGAAATGTAATTAGATGGAGTGAACACCGACACTGGGATGCAGGTACATTCAGCTGATTAGTCCCAAGTGTGACAAAACACGTGCCCTGGATTTTACTGCTGGCCACCATCCATTTTTGCCAATAAAGTTTGAAAGATACTTTTGATTTTATTGAATAGGAATCAGCGCATTAATTTAAGAACTAATTGAATAGTTTCTTTTGGTGTGAAGTTATTATTTTTGAATGTTTCCTCAGAAGATAAACAATTTTGATATAATATGTTGTTGTACTGATAGACTAAGGTGTTTCTTGCCGAACAACAATTCAAGTATGGATTGTCATCATCAACGAATAGGTCAGCCTCATGTTGATTTTGATAAACAAAACCTTTTTTGACTGATGAATATCCTGAAGTTTGTCCGTTCATATCCATTGTCATATAATGGAAGCAGTGTGATATCATTGCTTTTTTGATGCAACAGAATTATATACTGAAGATTAAGATGAAAATTTAATAGGAAATATCATAAATATACGTAATTAATCACCTTGTTACGCATATTTGGATTAGCGCCACTTTCTAATAAAATGTAAATAACTGTCGAATGACCTTGTTGTGCAGCTAAATGTAAAGCATTTGATCCCATACATGTTATAGCATTTACATCAGCACCTCTGCCAAGTAAAAATCGAACCATATTCACCTAGTGGAAAGAGATAATACAAAATACATCATAGGTAAAAAATTTAGTGTTTTCGTCATTAACTCATTTACCAGGTATAGAGAATTATTGTACTTTGCACCGAGGTACACTTTAAGCGTTAGAAAGGAAGAAGCTTGTAGGGCCAGTGAAATGTCACTGAACCCCAGCCAAATTATCCGGCAGCTGGATCACTGAATGTCGAACAGATCATCGCTCCCTGCCAAGGTCATGTACAACCAACGCGCATTAGTTAATCGTATGCCATGGACTGGCCCATGCGGCAGTGGTCATACTTTCGTTTGTATCTACCTTAACTAATATATTTCTGTAATAACGTCCTTTGTGTTGTACAGTCTTCAAAGCATCTATGGTACCTTGATACGTCAATGGGGTAGTCCACGTAAGGTGCTGACCACGAGGTGTGACTTCGACATTAGTTAGTTTGTCACACCATTCACGTCTAACTCGAGTAGGCCTCCAATCATTTCGACATAGATCATCTACGTTGGTGATCTACAAGCTATTCGGTCAACTAAGGTCGATAGGGTGAGAGTTAGAATCTGGGAACAAGTGATTGGAAGTTGAACGCTTTGATCGCTAAGCCACAGCTTTACGAGAATTTAAGAAGACGAATAAAGTAACCAGATGATCGCTTGGAATGCACTACACACATCAAGAATTCCTAACGACAATGTATTAAGCTAGCAAGAAAAGCTAATATTTACATTATGATGTTAGTTGTTTTAACCGATTTTTGATCGTTCGAAGTTTCAGACTGTTAGACGATTATTGGTTGGGTTGAACTTTTGTTTGTTAAATGCATTACTCTCACCATGGACTGATATAATCTGGTGAACCATTGAAAATAAGACAACACTGGACATATCTATTTTGAATAACTGTGAAATTATTCATCAGAGCTCAACCAAAACCCTGTTTGACGTTAGATAAATGGTTTGCTTACCGTACAGTAATCAAGATACGTTTAACAACGGAATTTGGATATAAAGGTTTACAATTTCATTTCTCTAAGTAAACCCATCATTAGACAATATCAGGGGTATGACCTAACTACACAAGTCACATAGTTTCTCACTAGAACTTGATCAGAACCATTTTAGAGGTAGTCACCGGTGAACATATGATTATCACATCGTTTAGGTAGATTATGGCTTATGGTTTGAAGACGGTTTTCAACATAATCCGCTATCAATTGGGAAATTACTCAATACTCATGAAAAATCAGACCTAGTCAAAGGTTCGATCTGGTACGAAGATTGTATGAATGAACTACTGAGCAGTTATTCATAGACTAGTTGTTGCTTTTAAATTGTTTACTAAATGAAATTATTCAGCAGACAAAATCTATCTTTTCAAATTGATAATTCGACAGCATACAATAAAATTGCTTTCATTTGACTCCTCAATTTCATATGACTTGTCATTCCTCAAAAGTTATCCAAACATAAATAGTTGCACACACATAAACAGAGGAATTAGCAGCAACGTAAGATGGTTATGATGTGAAACCGCTTTAATACTATATATATATATATATATATATATATATATATATATATATATATATATATATATATATATATATATATATATATTACTCACTTGACCAAAATGGCAAGCTGTATGTAAAGGAGTATATCCTGCTTTTGTTTTCAAATCTAACTCAGAGCCAGCGTTAAATAATAATTCCGCAGCTTTAACACTATCCTCTTGTGCTGCTAAATGCATTGCTGTAAGGCCATTCTAGATATAAAAATAAAAATAAATTGTAAGTTTAAATAAAATATTGAAAATTTGTTATTTATTGTACAGACATGAGACAGTAAATTGTTGTCAGGTAATTTTATTTTAATAAACCCTTATACTGATATATACTCCCTACAAATAAATATCATGAGTCCCATATGATGACGAAACATCCGTCCAGTAAATTCAGGTTTTCAATGGCAATCTAGTTAAGAAGATTACTTCATGATTTCAACTGTTAAAATATAAGTGATTAGTTTGATAATTTAGTAATGCGGTCTATCAACTGACAATAAATCTAGTGTTGTGAATAAAAATTTGCCTTAATAATGATGTGGTGAATGCTAATTATGTCGACAGACGGAAATTATAACCACCACAAGAGCGACTGTTTAAAGGGAGGACGAGTGTGGTGTATGCTACTTACGTCTGTCGACATAATTAGTATGTAACACCAAGCACAGGTGGAACGCCTGACATCAGAAAGTTGGGAAGATCGTATTGAAGAGAACGGGAACAGAGCGTAATTGTAATAGCAATAAAGGAACGATGAAGATTCAAACAATCGATGGGCGATTTGGAAATGAAATATTTAATGTATGGACTTCACAATAAATTGGTCTTCTCCAACTGTATTTCCGTTTACAACAATGAGATTGGAAGAAAAAGAAAACCAATGTACTGAGAACTAAAACAACTTATCTTTTATAAACAATATATGTAACTGAAACTATACAACTCTTTTAAATATCACATAATATATACGATTAATAGTAGATTAAGGCAAAAATTATAAAATGATTTGGTAAAATCGTACTTCTGCTTATTTGGACGCCGAGTTATGTTCACTAGGAATAAATCTACGATTAGATCGACAAACCATTCAGTAATAGCATTGCTAAACACCAGGTACAATTTCATACTGAAGGTCTACAAAGTAGTTTTTTAAAGGTGAATAGAACATGACTACTTGGAAAGTAAGGTTGGTAAGTGGCTAAATAATTCTGAGATGAACTATACTTCTCAGTCAAGTCACTGAGTTTGCAAACTATTTACACACATCTAGTTACTGATCAACTGCTAGTTTTATTCACCCATATTTATTGTTTGATTGAACATTGTAAATGATCCTTAGTTTTTACTACAATCATTGTAGATGTCGTCTAATGAGTGATTGGTAAATAAATTAATCTTCTTCAGTTTCGTTATCTTCCTTGAGTTGCAATAGGTAGCAGATAACGGTTATTCTGCGGTCATAGTGAACAGCTATATCTCAGTAGTCGTAATCAGCATTTAATTCGACTCACAACACTAATAAATCAATCTTGTTTCAAGTCAAAATATTTTTAAGATGCCTATTTCAGAACGATGTCAACTGACTTGAAATTGTTGTCTATGCAGCAAATGAAGCCGATGAAAATTTCGTCGACATGTCTATATGCTACAATCTACGCGACGTCGTCAGCTGTGTAGATTCCTTATCATATTTCGGATTTTTGGTATGATTCACTTGATGGCATTATTTTTTATTTTTGGCTCAAAAGTTATGAAGGTATGATCAGATTTAGATTTGAATATAAAGACAGCGCGTGGAAGTTACAATTACTGCTATGCAAACGTGGCATCAAACAGCATAAAAAGTACTCAAATCTCATACTGTCATGTCAGCCAAGGGACCAAAAATTTGTAAATACGGTAAAAACACTGACAAAAGTTTTAGAGATCAGTTTAGACTTTTCAACACATGAAATAGGTGCACGAAGCCTACTAAACGAGAATCTAATGATCATAACCCTTGTGCAGGTATTTTTAACAGACAATGTGAACGCTTTAAGTTACAATCCTTCTCTGACGACCAATTCAAATATCTACATTCTCCCGAAAAATCCAAGTAACCTCACATATAACCACAAGATATGAGTGGCATGGTTATAGTTAAAAACGTTAACAATCAACAAGCAAAAGATTTTACTACTCAAGAGTACAACAAGTCAAGCTTTCCTTTTTGAATGAATACTAATGAGATTATAAAGCACAATGAAATGCAGTCCATATGGATTATGGATTTACATGAACCGGGGTATAAACTTTCTCAGCTTTTTCCTATTAAAATCTCAATAAAATTTCGTGAAATTTGTGATTCACTGATCCAAAACAATCTATTTAGATTATATTAACGATATAAGGTTGAGAAGTGTCAGTATTCCATCATTAAAATATAGATCTCCATTAATCTACCGAATAAAATATGCAATCTAATCGAAAACTAAAGCGAAAGTACTAAGTATTTCTAGGAAACATCCTTTATTGAAACCACTGGATTTAAAGTATACATTGTAGATTTAACAGAATTTCCGAAAAGTACATTTACAAGAACATTATAATAAAGTTATACTCTTTAATCCAAAATGAGATCATGAGATATGAAAAAATTGTTGACATTTTATTGTAAACTTCATATGCATTTACTGATGGATCTAGTTGTATTGTTTAAATTATTAGACATGTTCAACCTCTATCGTTCAAAAAGCGATAAAAGAGAACGATTAGAACATTTAGACTTGAATATGAAGTTAATTCTGGAAAGCAAACTGATTTCGGTAAGCAGATTTTAAAAGCTATCCATTGTACATCACTTATTGTATGTTATATATAAGTAATTAAAATTTTAATTAGAGCAAATTTAACACGTATTTGCCCTTAACACGTATTTTACCTGTGTTCAGCATTTTCATCACCAAACATTTTGATTCAGATTAAACATACAACTTGTGAAAATAATATCCTCCACCATACCCCACAACTTAAATAACATTTTTACTTAGCTTTTATTACTGAAATAATAACTCACTGTCACCAATTGATGTTATTAACTGTAAAAATGTCTTCTAGCTATTATGGTCTAATGCTGTATATGTAAGCAAATATGCTGTTTTTAATATTTCTTATCTTAATTTCAATAGTTATTCATTCTAATATTAAATAAACTCTATTAATAAACTCACTACTACTAGTATTTTACACTTGAAAAAAGGTTAGCAAACTCATATTCTAGTGTACACTGATGGAATAAGAAGATAAAGGAAATGAATACATTTTATTGTGAAATTAGTTCAACTACTGAACGCTATTCTTCACAAGTATTTAAACACATGTATTTTTTAAAACTCATCTAACTACTATAATCAAAATAAGTAGTTAGAAATTTAAATATTATTAAATTGTAGTTATTAAATCATTTTAATTTGTATCTGAGTAGTTAAGTGTATAGATTTACTAATTAATTTATCCTACATGCACGTGCAAAGATGTCCCAAAAAGTGCTTAAGAATTCAAGAATTAGGATACACCAGTGAATGTGTATACTAAGTTACTACATTAGCTGGACTGTTTGAATCTAGAGAATAAGGTGAATAAATTTATAAATAACAACATTTCTAATATAACTGTATAGAGATGTGAGTTACATTCAGTGTAGTGGGGTGTTATAACTAATATAAAACAGAAATTGGACTAAATATTTGTAATGGTGTATGAAGTTCGACTTACATTAACAGTTTTGAATTAACTGTAAACAAAGCTGTAGTTGGAATAACATCATTCGCATGCCAACAAAAAAATAATAACATAATACTACAGTCATTATTTGTAAAAAACGAAAATTTCAAACCACTATTAATAAATTCTTACACGTTGAATAGGTTAGCAGATATCTTAACTCAATTGTTCAGTTGAGAGAGAAGTATAAGGTCGAAGTTTCAGTGTAAAAATCAAATTTGGGATGTAGGTATATGCAGTCAAAAAGTCTCTGATAAGAAATAACATCCGTTCTCAAGTCCACCGCTAACCACATACCAAATATACCAACATTTATGACATAACCCTATCTCAAAATAATATGCTCGCGATGTTCATATGACAACAGCAACTGATAAATTACTATACTAAATATCAACTATGGAAAGTTATTCTAAACCCTTACTAGTACTAGTACTAGTACTAGTACTACTACTACTACTACTACTACTAATAATAATAATAATAATAATAATAACAATACAGTGGCTTACTTTCGCTAAAGCATTTACTTTAGATCCAGAATCAATTAGTAATTTAGTCATTTTCTCATTTCCATCTTGACAAGCTAAATGTAACGGAGTGAAACCATTACGTGATTGTATACTACAACAACCACCATCGACACCACAACCGCCATTATCATTAGTATTTTTCTTATTCTTATTATTACTGTCAACAGTAGCTTCAATTAATAATTTGCCAATATCCACTAAATGTTTTTCTGCGGCAATATGCAATGGAATAAAACCATTTTTAGCTTGTGAAACTGGAGATGCCTAAAATTTAAAAAAAAATAGAGGAGGACAGAAATAATTATATGATTTTTAAAGTAATGTGTTGGTATGTTCGGATGTATAACTACTGAAGAAAAATAAACCTAGATTTATTAAGCCTTTGTAAATACATAATTGTTTAGACTCGTGAGGAAGTCTGTAGTATCTTTTATCTAGGTCATATTACAATGCTAAAATTTCGCTGTTATCTAATTGTCTGTTTTCGCTTTTGGTTCACTATTTTTTAGCTCAACATTACATTCGTTATTACGTAAACGAGGTTGTTATAGTATAATTTTTGACTTCTTTGAATACCAAACAATTTCCGAAAATCCTGATTTCACCCTTTCCCACTGTTAGTGGGAAAGTGTTGTGTATAAATCAGCTGATCTATTTAGTTTTCAGAGATCATGTTCTTATCAAAAGAATCTCTCAGTTGTTTATAATTCGAGATTATCGTAAGTTAAAACCACATATTAGTGATCAAAAAATGAATCAGGAATCGAACAATGAGTAAAGCTTAATCGGTTCTAAAATAACAAATCAAACTATACATATCAATCACAGAATAAAAAAACAGTTTTGTCACTTACTCTGAAGAAGTGGCTTACATTCAGTCACGAAACGTCAGAAATACGATTTTCTACTCATTGGAATGTAACAAAAATTATGTTTATTATTAAAAAAGATAGTTGTTCATTTTAGTAAATCACTAGAGTCCTTTTAAACTTAAGCAGTGATTGAGTATCACTATATAGTATACATGATATGTGAATTGATGTATATTCACAACCACACATACATAGACTAACCTAACTTTATTGGAACTGAAATTTCAGAAGCGTGGATAATGATCATTCAATACTTCTACTATCCTAAATCCTAATGTTTTGAGTATGATATATAAATAAAGACGTCTCAAATGAAAAGCCTTAAATCAAGTTCGTAAAAAAAAATATGAACTTCAGAATTATAAACAGAATTCGATAGTGGGTAACAGTGGAATCAAGGAGGCTCTCTCGTCAGCTGGATGCACTAGCACCCGTGTTAGTGTTCACACGATGACTAGAACCTGATAGCTTTCGTTTTAAATAATCAGTACGTTTTTAAGTTAGCTACTGAGTCCAGATAAATACTGACTTGAGCAGTGGGATAGACTGCAATTGACCGAATATCCTTTTGGCATACATAGATCCTGTGTGAATTGCCTCGTTATTGCTATCAAGCTACAAACATTTTAACTGCAGTCAGTAACATCAACGAGAACATTTAAAAAAGTACCAATACAGATGAATATGGACGTAAGGTTTAGATACAAAAAGTATCAACCAAGAAATGTGTCAAGAAGATGAAGCAGAGAGGAATGAAGGCAAATAATTAAGAATTGTCCATGATTTAATGATTCTGTCAAGTTCCAAATGAGTATAATCAATAATAAAATCCTTTAAATTTTGTTGAAATTCTCGGAGAACTTTGGAAATGTTTGTGAGAAATGTTTAAAACCAGTGATAATGAAAAAATAAGTCTAAATAACTCTAAAATCTCTATTCTATTCTCATGCCCAAGGTAGATTGTTTCAAGACTACAAAAAACTTCTTCACGATCACAAATACACCTAGGATGAGATAGATGTCAACAAATTTGAAATAATTTGGGCTAAAAAAGGTTTACTGTACTGCAGTATACTGTGACCTCTTACATTACTTAGTTTAATAGCTACTATGCAGATAAGTCAATCATGTTCAGCGAATTATTTTTACTTGGCAAAAATCGATCATTAAAATGTCACCAATTAAAATGATCAGTTAAAAGATGATTCTTTTTCAATACCTTATTATTATAATAGAAACAATTAATCAGTCCATTAACTAGTAGGAAAAAAGGATATAAAATTGACTATATGAAACTTATTTGTTAAAAGCAGCGTTATAATCAATAAAAGTAGCTTTAAGAGCAACGATATTTGAAATGCAGGTAGTCTAAACCAAGTTTCTATTGGCTTATTTTTCTTCATATTCCTAATTAATACAGTTCTTGTCCGACGGTTTATACACACCATTTAGTTAAATCAGAACTTCATTTACGTAGTCAGCAGCTGAACTCAGCCGTGATGGTTGGTAGGTAAAGATTACCTAGTTAGAGTTTACACGATTATCTTAATCAATAGTTTCAAATGTTGGATAAAATGACTCAAGCTCAGACACAATGAAGAATATGCATCCACTCTTTGTCTTCCCTCAAACCTCAGCTTTCGAAACCATCTTCATTATTCCCTCTCGAATCATAGTATCTGTTCCTAACTTCTTCTACTACTGCTACTGTTTCTACTCCAACTATTCTAGTATCTCACTGTACTGATCTAGTGTCGTAACGTGAGCCAATCCACATATCTCCCAGGTCGTGCAATGTCCATGCCCAACTGACCCTTGTTCAATAAAAACATTTAAAAATAGATTTTGTACATAATCAACTAAGTTATTTGTACGAAAAACCTGTTTCCTAGGTTTAACACCCGTGGATAAGCACTAGGATAGAACAGCTATCCAGTGTTTCCCAGTATTCAGTGATTTTTCAACTAAGATCAGTGCATGATGTTAACTATGAAGTGATATTTAATTGAAATCTAGGTGAACATGATGAAATTGATTGGTCTTATGATTAAGTCACAGTAGAAAGCTTTAATATAAAAAACAACTCACTTTATGTTCAAGTAATAATTCAACCATAGGTAAACATCCGTAATGTGTAGCCAAATGTAATGGTGTTAAACCATTACGTCCAACTGCATTCATATCAGCACCGGATAAAAGTAAAAATTTAGCTGTTTCTAAATGCGAATGTTTCACAGCTAAGTGTAATGGAGTGAAACCAGACTACATGATTGTAAATGAAGAGAGATATAAACAAAAACCTTTATTAGTAGTATGGAAAACAATTTGTGAACATTGTAGAATTTTCGCAGTTCAAATTATGAAATGCTCTTAGTTAGACTAACGTATAAAACCTGGAAGTAAATGATAGTTCGCTCGTCCTAGCATGGGACTCCTCAGCAGATCCTAGGTTCGATCCTCGGATACCGAGTGGTGAATGGGCACTGCTGAAACGTTTCATATTAATACGAAATGGACGTTCAGTGCTTTCAGGTTTTTAATGGCGATCCAACTAAGAACACTTCGTGATTTATACTGTGGAAACAATTTGTACGAAATCAAAGAAGGAAGTTCGAAATAAATAATAAATTTATTAAAATAAAAAATGACATGTATCAAACAAAATAACCTTTTTTGATCTTTTTTCAAATGTATTTATTCCACTACTACGTTAAGAGGGTAGACTGAGCAATTCTAGTCAAATCTAAGCAACCTAAAATTTTGGGACAACTGGGCATCTGTCCGAGATACCACTACTTTATGTCTTTTTGCACATTAATATGAAATTAATAAAATGAATACCGAGGTAGCAGAATTAATAGGTCTAGTGATAACGAAAATGGTTAAACATAGAGATTCTGAGTGAAGAAAAAAGAATGAACCCTCAGAACAAAAAGTATGAAATCTTATTGAAACTCTGGATCTACGAGTAAACTAGGAGTAAATGGACTTAAACTTCTATGACTGACTCCAACCACTGATCGCAACAATCAAGCGGATCGCAACTAAATATTCTGTACATATTCATGATCTATGGGAGAGCTATGAATAGACATTATCGAGGCTTTTCGAACTATGTTTAAAAACAACTGTTAAATGATTCCTGTTTTCTATACACAGCATATTGATAAAGTAAACATTAAATTACTTATGATTCAGATCATCATTACCAAAAACTCTTGAAGCGAGAGTGTACTGAACAGTTGGTTCGCCTGAATATGGAACAGTTCGGCAGCACATAAATGCTATCGTACTCAGGACCTTCAGGTTTCCGACAACTGCTCAACCTTTAGGCAGACAAGTCAGCGTGATGTAGACGATAGGATTCAACCATTTCCATAAACCGCCTACACAAACATTAATCTGTTTAAGCAAAGATGTATGGTGGCGAGCAGTGGAATAAAGGACGCGCGTTCCATCCCGTTTGGGAATCTTCAGCTGGATGTCCCTACATCCCAGAGTTGATGTCCACTCTGGGACTCGAACCTATAACCTTTCGCTTCAAACGCCATTGTGTTATCCACTTAGCTACAGGTACACCAGGTTGACGAGTCCCAAAGAGGACGAAACGCACGTCCTGAATTTTACCGCAAAACCGCCATCCATTTTGCTTATAATACTTTAGATTTAAGGTAATATCGAGGCAATCCACAAAGAATGCACATATGCAAATAAGAGACTGATCAATTGCAGTCCTAAACATTATTGGGAAGATTCAAACAAACAGTACAAAATGTAATTAAAAAAGCACATTTTAAATAATTATCAAGAATATAGAGAAATATGAAACCAATATCCTAAAACTGATAACAACTAAAGAGGGATCGTCATAACAATTCGTTTGAGTATTTTCCCAATAGATACCAATTCGATCATCTTTATTTCTGATTTATTGTATTCAAGTATCCATTACGTTTATTAGGAAAGTAACATAAATTGAAAATAAACTACAAAATAAACAGTCAAGTTGCGTAAATTCTTTTATAATAAGATAAAGAAAAATAAACCAAAATGAATACTGGACAGTTATTTCTTTCTTGTGTTATTTAATTTTACCACAACAAAAATGTTTGTTGACAAATACAAACGGGAAATACAGCATAACTGTTAATTTCATGATTGGTGTGCAGGCCATAATAATACTAGAACACTTTGGATAATTTGACCTGGAATTTCAATCCACAAGATAATGTGCTTATATCAGAATGATCCATTTTGATGGTAGCCAGTGACTAAAATAGGTGCATACACAACTCGTTCGTCTAACATTCTAAAGACCACGTCCACTATCGGCTTGAAATCAAGGTTTCTCAATTGATCAATTACTTATGTGCACCGGACATTGGTTTTCACTTTCTCATGTCCGTGTTAATATTGCCCTACCTCAAGTAAACAGAGTGTATGATCTTTCCTCACTATGGAGGATATAAACGATCGGCTTATCAATTCCCATTCAGGGTTCCTCGTGTGAACCATTCACACCATTAGAATCTAGCATGTTGTCATTTACAGACATAGTCAAAGATAATATTTATAGTTAAATAAATTAAAATATTTTATAATAAACAATAATATTTAATTACCTTTGTTGTTATTTCTAATTCTGCTCCATTTTTTAATAATAATTCACATATCTCTTTATGATTACCTTTTGCAGCTAAATGTAATGCTGTATAAGTATCTTTGGTTGAACACTGTACATTAGCAGCATATTCCAATAGTAAAGTGACTAATTCTAAATTACCAATACGTGATGCTATATGAAGTGGTGTCTGATTGCCCTGATTTTACAAATAATTAGGAAGAGAGAGGAAGAGAAAGATGAATAAAGGAGAAGAGAAAAGGATGATTTATTGATCTTTTCTCATTAATCATCTATGAAAAAACAATATTACTGTGCATTTTTCAATTAATAAGTAATACTTGTTCTATAACAGCAATATTTGATTGAAAACTAAGAATTTGAAGGATGTAATCAGTTTAATTTCATAGTTTACTTCATGAATTGATTTCAGTTAAACAATCGTTGAAAACTAGTTAGCACTAATTGAACCAGTGACTAGTGGAATTCAACTGTATCGAGTGTCAGACAATTCCCCACTAATATCACTGGGAAATGGTCACGTGAAATCATGAATTGAATGAAAATAGATATCCAATCAATTGAATTCCAACTCAGTAGTTCCGATGTGAAATGCTCGCGGTGAGAACTGAAAATTCTGAGTTTGATCCCTGGTGTGGTTGTAGAGAAACAGTGTTAGGAAGTCTCATATACGAAAGAGACAGCTATATAGTGCTTAGTGGTTTTCACTAACTGTTTAATTGAAGTCAATTAGTTAGTTCAACTATGAAATTCAATAATCTACACAAATCCCTTACGCTGATAAAAGTCTTTTTGATGCTGAACGAACAGTTTGCCACATTTTTGAACCTATCACACTAGAAAATAAATGATCTTGTAGCTGGAATGTTCTGTAACAAGTATTAGATGATATTTGATAAGAAGACATTTTTTCAAACATCTTGAAGCAATATCTCAAGTTTAAATGATGAGATTCAATGATTTCTGAGAACTAATACGAAGAGGCAGTTGATAATTGAATTCGAATTATATGTTAGTTCACTTACCACAGTTTAATTGAATAGATTATGTTTATGGTTTGAAACTAAAATCACAATAATCTGTTGTCTTATTGTAGAAGAATATGTTCACATACATGAATTAAATAGTAAACAGTTAAGAACTTTACTTATCATCAAAAACAACCAGAGATTAAATGACGACCTTATCACAGAACACAAAGTAAACTCTCTTTTTGTTTACAAACTCTAAGGGTAAGAGCATAGATTTGGATTAAGACCTGTAGGTTTATGGACACGGTGCTATATATGTTCATGATTATGAAATGAACAGAAATTCCTAAGCTTTGAAGAAATAACTATACAATGCTTACTATTGGTAATTCCAGCATTTTTAAGTCGGAAAAAAACATCAAACAAAAGAATAAACAATAATGATTTATTGGTAATAATTTTGTGAACTGTGACTTATTTGACAGTATTAAAACATTATTTTATTACGTCTATATTACATGGGAAACAAATCTAATACGTGATATAAACGTATACATTTTAGCATAAGTCTTGTTCCATAAACGGAAAAAGACAATGCATAATATTGAATAATATAAGTATCAATACTACGGTTGAACTTGATCATTTCAAATAAGTTGAGTATTGGGTAGAGAGTTAATCATAAATTCATTTTTGTCATATCTAAATGAGTAGAAAAATTATATTTCTGACGTTTCATGATTTAATGCAAGTCACTTTTTCAGCGTAAATAAATAACTGAAATAATCATTATTATTGAATAATATATAGTTGAGATTCAGATTTGATAAGAATGAAATCGTTGATTATTTAACGAATTCCATACTGGTTTTTTATTAAACAATTATCGGTGTTCCTCTCACTTATATAAACTAGTCTCTTAAAAATACATTTAAGCATTTCATTACAAAAATAGTGGATCAGTTTCGTTCAATTAATTATATAACTTACTCTAGCTTTCACATCCACTTGAGCACCATTACGTAAGAGTAGACGAGCTACATCAGTTTGTCCAGCACGTGTTGCCAAGTGCAAACTAGTTTCACAACGTACAGTTGGTGCATTTGCATTAGCACCATGTTGTAATAATAAAACGACAATATTTAGATGCCCCATGAAACATGCAACGTGTAATGGTGTTAAACCAGACTAAAACGAAAATAAGTACTGAAGTGATATAATAATGCAATGATATAACAAACAAAAGTACAGTCGCATTAGTTTTTTCTGTGATCTTTATTGTCATGTTTTACTAATTATTTGCCAGCTGACTGATAACCTTATTTTGTGAAATTAAATTCCATGGATGTTTCGGCCACCTTATTCATAAGAGTATTTTAGTATTTGATTTCGCCACCATAGATATGGATATCATCAGTCGATCAGAATAATATTCATTCATTTTAATAACCGAAAATTCTCCCGTAAAATCATCAAACACAAATTCGCAATACGTTCATGAATGAAGTCAGTATTCTCAAGGGTCAGTGCCCATATGGAGTCAACCAATTTAGGAATGAGGCAGTAAATAGCTAGTGACAATCATTGATGACCATGGAATACAACAGATCAACCGAAGTTAAACCATTGAACATATACTCTATGGTGATTGGATAATTTCGTGTTCTTCATGAAACATGAATGATGTGAGTTCAGTTCAATGTAGGTGGACATATGTGTACTCTACTAAACAGTACCAGATAACTTCAATTAAATATTTTCTCAGTGCTTCTTGATGACAAACGGTTCTCTAGTTCATTCGGTGATTTTGTTCCTCGTACCAGAGGGTTTGGTTACAAAGCTCTCATTGTCATTATGAAATAGCACCCGAGTAGGCACGAAGTAGGGGCTGATGTTGGCCAGGACGACAATGAGATCTCTTCAATGAAACTGTCTGGTTCAGAGAACGCAATACCACCCAATGCATCTACCTGCGTTACAAATCTTCATAATGTCAGCCGCTGTTGAAAAATTCGCCTCCACAAAATTTACATAATTGAATAAGTAAGTAGAAAAGAATTATTTTTTATAACTCACCTCTGTTGTAGCTTGAATCAAACAGTTATATTTCAATAACAGTTCAACAATTTTAATTCGATTTTTTTGACATGCAATATGTAAAGGTGTAAATCCATTCTAACAAAGCAAAAGAGGAAAATAATAAAACTTTTAATTATTGCAGACTTTTCTTTATTCATAAATGTAGTTATTAATTGCTACGTATTAATTGTAGCAGTATTGTTATACACCATGAAGCTCTAGATTGTTGTTTAGTCTCAGTATGGGACTTCTTACACCCACAACCCAGCCAGGAACCTAAATCAAGAACTTCATAGGTCTCCCATTAAATGCTTAACATCTAAACCATCTGTTTGAGATCCAGTAATACACATTTCTGACTGCAATCAATCCAGAATGTAACTTGACCATCGTATATTATTAATATTCCATCAGAGTATGCTAACCAATGACTACCTTCAAAATTATAATGAGAAGTTTCAACTGATGAATTTCAAAAATTCCGAAAATGAATGGTTAATTAATGATGATATTAGATGAATGTAACGCAATACAAAGAATCAAGTAGTGTTTTAAATACAAACAATTAATTTTCCACTTAAATGTGAAATGTTACTACAATTGATCCTGAACCGCTAGGTGCTTGGCTAAAAGTTATAAGGAAAAATGCTGATACACTACAGAAAAAACCTTGAACTAATATAACACAATTGTCAAATACCCTCCCAATTTTAAGCAGTTTAGCAGACAATATCAATCTGCAATGAAATTTCCATGTATACATAAAACTGAAACGCAAATACTAGCGAGTGATTCTTTCAGGTACACATGTTATTACCATGCAGCTTAAAAGCTCTCTATTTGAATGTCAATTCAAAATAATTCAACTGTATCACACAATTAAATTCTACTTACACTAAAATTAGTGCTTCTAAAAAAATCTTGTTTACTCACTAAAACTAATGAAAATGCCTAGCCAAGAAAATTTATAAAAGGAACACTAGTAACACCATTATTGATGAATAAAGAGGTACTAATTAATTCAAAGAAAAAAAAGAGAAGAATCAAGATGAAATTGAATAAAACCATTTTAATATAGAGTTCTGATGAATTTAAGATTTTAGGACCTTACTTTCGAGTTATACCAGTTATTGTTCATGTACTAGAAACCCTATTTCTATCCAATCACTTAAAAAGAAATATTCTAGTAAAAAAGAATATGAATTCATAAGGTAATAACTAACATTTTAACGCCAAAATCAACTATTACTAAGACAGTTTTATTTATGTGCCGGGACTAAGTTCAAGGAATTGAAGTATAAAATAGAAAATAATCCATATTACGTAAGAGATAGTTATTATTACTGTGTGGTCTAGTTGATAACTCTTCTGAAACCTGAATCAAATAGTATTCTTATTTATTCTCATTAAGATTCAACTAAGGATAAACAATTTAAATTCCGATGGTTACTGACAATTACAATCAGAAATACAATTAAAATAGTGACAATAATAATCTGGCGGTCTGCCTGAATATCTCGGCTACCTGTTCCTCCCATCTAGATATTTCAACAAGTTATCTGTATTTTTTTGTTTATTTTAATAAATCATTATGCCTATTAGCCTCATAACCTATTCAGCTGCTTTTGTGAAACGTTTACAACCATTCTCTGTACAAGTTACAAAAATGTACAATCGGAAACATAGTGACGACCGGCAATATGCACTGAAATGTTAACATCTAACTGGCAATCACTCGATATTTATCCCAAGGATCGATCAAGAAATAAGAAACGGAAAGTTGTTGAAATACTCTGTGCTGAGAATTTTATTCTGTACCAAAAAAATAATATTGAATAAACCCATGAATAATAATAATAAATAAATAAATTTCACTGATTTAAATCATGAGTCAATTGAAGCTAGACCACCATGGAAAGCATGGAAGCACTGGACGGCCGTTTCGTCCTAGTATGGGAGTCCTCAGCAGTGCGCATCCATGACCTCGCCCCCTGCGAGACTCGAACCCAGGACCTACTGGTTTCGCGCGCAAGCACTTAACCACTAGACCACTGAGCCGGCATCCAACGGTGTTAATGTCTAACTTCAACCAATCCACGAAGTTGCGCCAACGTACACCATTGTCTTCAGTGAGTTGATATCTCACAACCGACCTGGTTGAAATCCACGGGTAACGGCTTCTCACTAGAACTCCAGGAGTGCCTCTTGAGGTCAGTCACTAGTGAGCAGATGATTATTATCAGAAGGGGTTTTGTGGAGATTTTAGAAATTTCCATGGTGGTCTAGCTTCAATTGACTCATGATTTCAACCAGTGAAATTTCTAAAATCTGAACAAAACCCCTTCTGAAAATAAATAAATAACAAAAAGTCATCTATGGACAATGTTTATAGACTAGAAAAGGTCAACCAATTAAAAAGTACAAATTAGAATTCATGCCACTCAATATCACCAAAAGATAAACTGTCAATAAAATGAAACATATGTATCATCCCCATTTTTTCTTATTGATATATGCAAGTACATAAAATCGAATACTAATGTTTTCCTTTAGATGAATAATTCACACGATTGTGAAAAATAAGCACTTCATAGGATAACTGGAAATTTTTTGTCAGATTATGATAGGAAAGAAATAATAATGATATTCATAATAATAAAAGTATTATACATTTGATATCCTTTGTTCTAACCTACCAATTGCAAGTTGTTTGAGGTCAAGTGACCTTGGGAAGTGACAAAACAATCTATATTAATCATATCTTATAATATCCAAAAGAGATATTCGTATCTATTACAATCATTAAATGTGAAAATCAAATTTCTTGATTTGGTATTTATCGCAGAATAACAGCTGAAGAATCACTGAAAACCAAGAATTAGTAGATAGTTGTGTGAGATGGTTAGAGATGATCGATAAAAAATCCCAAACCTACGTTTCGTGTTATTTGGAACACTTCAGCAAGTTATACCTGTGACCTGCAGGAAACGAATGATCCCATTGGGATTTTAACTTGAATCACCCAGCTTCATAGTAAGAGATATTATCACAAAGCTATTTGGACAATGACTTTCTTCCTGTGAGGCTGAGATAATTATGACTGGTCACTGAGTAGTGGCCAATGTTATGATCGTGTTGTCCTTTAACACCGATCGACCAAATTGTTACGTGGCCACTCGATCAACTAATTATACAGACAGTTATTTTGTTCTACGTTGGGACTATGTTAAGAAACATACCCTCAAATAAGACTAAGAATGAACCTCAAAAAAACTTCAAGTCTCATATCAAATACGTTAAATGTAGAACAATGAATTTTAATTCTGTGGTTCAAAAATTTTCAAGTAATTTGTGATACAACGAGGTCTTTCTAACAATGTCACCACTCAGTTACGGTCTCATCGCTAAACAAGTTTACCTTATAAGTCAGAGTTTCATTGTAATATCGTTTCTTTATTTTGTAGTTAATGAATATCAATCTATAGTAGAATTAGTTTGGGACAAAGATCATCTGTAAACTCTAGAAAACATTTTCACAAAACCACTATTTATGAAAAAATATATTTTTAAATATAACCTGAATAATTCTTAGTCTGCTATGAAGTTCTAAAGATAAATCAATATTCCCAGTCATGTATAACAATTTATACATTTAACTATTCTCCCTTTTCTACATATCCCATTCACAATGCTCTCTATATTTTATTCATCTGTCAGTGATACATTAAAATAAATAAGTGAAGTGTAACTAGATTAAAATATAGATAAGTTATTTAAGCTAGAAATTCAACAGATAAACGGTGCATAACACTACAATCATACACACACAGGCACGCATGAATTATTTAATAATATTTGGGATTACGATAGTAACACTAAGAAGTGGAGCAGAAAGAAATAGGAATATAAACATAAAAAATCTAAAACTTATCAGGATAGTCGGCTTACAATGCAATCTTGGGCGTAACAGAATTAGTTTGACTTGAATCAGCATAGCATTGATTAAATGATTAAATAATAGCAGTATATATGGGCAACAAGGTAAAGAAAAAAGTACTAAAGAGGACATATATATTGTATATATATATATATATATATATATATATATATATATATATATATATATATCGTAGTGTAAACAACAATCTTTGTTTTCTTTCATGTTTTTTTCTTACAAATTATATAACTTAAAGAGTGATTATAAGCACTCAGCTAACTATTATGAGTTAAGAACTACTACTTAAAAAATAAGGTAAGTAATAGAAGTGGTTGTATTAAAATCAATCAGTATTTTTTCAAGTATTTAATGTGATATTTTTAATTGGCATTTCTTACACAAAAAAAAACGCACCCTACTTCAAAGGATTTGTACGATTCTATAGACTGAAAGGACTGAAGTAAGATAGGATTGTACATTGAGAAAAAACTATAAACTCATATAGTGAGATGTCACTGAATTTATTAATCTGTAGTATAGAGTATTAAAATAATGTAATCATTTTAATTTTGAATAAATAAATCTTAGTATAAAACGTTAGAGGAGATTGTTGAGTTTCATAATTTGAATCATCAGTCGATGTCGATTAGACAATCACTAAAAGCTGGAATGCACTAGACAATTATGTTATCCATTTTCAACAATCCGTACCTGCGACCCTACCAGAGATCATACCCTACACTTTCAAGTCTCTCAGAAAACTCTTAGTCTCTAGACCATTGTGATGGTATTTTGTGATTTATATTTGTAGCTTCAAATAATTTGCGATACTGAACAACCTTCTATCAATTTCACTAGTAGTTAGCCGGAACATACCCAAAATGGTTGAACTCGATTGGTCATGGCTTCTGATTATGAGCCAGAGAATTATTTCTCAAAATTGATCAACAATTAGTGTACAAATCGTTATGAAGGCTTAGGATTGAATTGTATATCATTTTTTTATCACTTAAATCAGAGTAGTGAATAGATTATTTTGATAGTTAACCGGAATTAGTTGTACTCTTCTAAAACAAGTTTTAACAATATACTACTTTAATACACATATATGCATATATAAATAAGAAATATTCTTTCCAACAAATTCTCATCAGGTTCA